CTTCTCTCCCCCTCCCTCCCCCAACATTGTAGCTGGAGGAAACCTTGGGACCAGAAGGTTGGCTCTGTGTCACCTGAGCAAGGTGTGGTGGGTGCTCAGTTTTAAAGCCTCCCTTTCTTCCCGCCAGATGACTGTGGCTAAGCTCATTGCCAAGGGGCGGATCCTCACCCTGGCAAACCAGGTCCTGGCTGTGAATGTCTCTGATGAGGTGAGAGCCAGCAGGCCTGGTGGAGAGGCTGAGACCTGCCCAGCCAGTTGTTCAGCCCCTTTCTGACTGGCCCAATCCGCCCTTTGGCGATCAGGACACTATGCTGAGGCTTCTCACCTGGGGCCCAACAGGGCGGGAAGGGGTGATCCAGGGCAGGTATGTTCCATGCCACGGCAAGGCCAGCTGAGAGCCGCTGGACTGGGGTGACACACGGGGTCTGTGCTGCAGGGGCGCATCCTGCTGGGCCCGGAGGGCGTCCCTCTGAGACAAGTGGACATACTGGCGGCCAACGGTGTCATCCACATGCTGGAGGGTGTCCTGCTGCCTCCAACCATCCTGCCCATCCTGCCTAAGCACTGTGACGAGGAGCAGCACAAGATCGTGGTGGTGAGCCCCGCTCCACAGCCAGGTTGCTCACGCTGAGACCCCCCTAGAGCTTGCAGTGCGAGGCAGGGGTGCTGCCCGAGGCCGCATCGCATTGACCGCAGTGCTCAGGACTGGGTTACTCAGAGGGAGGAGTTTACTTTGGCCCACGGTTCTGAGAGTCCTGGAGCACAGCACTGGTGTCTGCTTGGCTTCTGCTTAGGGTCTTGTACATCACAGGGCAAGAGAGGAGCAAAGGGGCGCCAGCCTCACCCGTCACAACTCGCTCTGGTGCTGACTAGCCCATCGCAGGGCCCCACCGATCCCCGAGTAAGGGGAGCCCCCAAGACTCTAGACGCCACCTCTCAAAACTGACACCTGGGGGACCAGGCCTCCACATGAGTTCTGGTAGAGACAAACCACATTCAGACTGTAGCAGGTACCACCCAGTGGGTGGGCTGATGTGACTGGCCGAGCTGAAGAGCCCCAGAGACCTGCTGGGGTTCCTGCAACCAAGCCTGATGATTCTCCCTTCAAGTACCACAGCCCGGGAGGCCTGAGTCTCCTTCCCTCCCTCCTCTCCCTGCTGCTTCCCCACCTTGGGGCCTTCACCTGCACCCTTCCCTCAGCTTGGCCACCCTTGCGAACGTCCATGTCTGACCCTACGCCCTCCCTTCCTCCCTGCCCTGCCTAGGGCTCCTGTGTGGACTGTCAAGCCCTGAACACCAGCGTGTGCCCCCCGAACAGTGTGAAGCTGGTGAGTGTCCCTCAGCCCAGCCTCGTGCTCCCTGAGCCCCGCTACTGGCTTCTCCCTCAGGTCACAGTGGGGAGTATGGGATGAGAGGCCACGCCGGATCCTGAGGCCCCACACTTCACAGAGGCTCTGGGGGTGGGAGCGTTGCAGAAGGGCTTGCCCAAGGCCCCGCTGACTGGCCCTGTACGCCTGCCCAGGACATACTTCCCAAGGAGTGCGCCTACACCCACGACTCTGCTGGGCTCAACGTGCTGAAGAAGGGCTGTGCGAACTACTGCAACCAGACCGTCACAGTGAGCTGGGTGGGGTGTCTGCGCCTAGGGAGCCCGGCAGACTTCTCTCCTGGGGCCCCGAGCTGGGTGGAGTGGGATGCCTTCCTCAGAGCTACCCTGAATCTTGGGGGAAAAGTGACACTGAGGGAACTCATCTGCTCCCTTGCTCTGCAGTTAGACCAGGGAGCAGAAGCATCCTGGGTAGGGGCAGGCGTAGCCTGGATCCACATGTGCTCTGTCTCTTGCAGAAACTCGGCTGTTGCAAAGGGTTTTTTGGACCTGACTGCACACAGTGTCCTGGGGGCTTCTCCAACCCCTGCTATGGCAAAGGCAATGTGAGTCCCCCTCCTCTGGAATAAGAAGGACCGCTTCTTTCTGGACTGGCAGTGACTGGCTAAGGGACAGCCGTGAGCCTGCCTCTCTAGTGTAGGCAATGACAGTTGGGCCAAATTATTTCCATTATTTTAATAAGAATTAAATCGACGGATTGTTGCATCTGTATTTTAAAAGGCTACTGGTCAGTAGTGTTTGTTATTCTGTTTTTGCCACTTTGTGACATCAGGGCCCTGTAGCATCAGCTATGGAAAGGGAGTCAGATGTCTCTAGGGAGAGCATGAGGCCTCCAGAGCCTGGCGCCTTTCAAGGCCTTGTTCTGCAAGGGGGGCATCAGAGATTCGGAAGGGTGAGGTCTGAGGTCTTCGGGGAGGGCGGGCATTGTGGGACAGGGTGGGCCGAATCCCTTCCATGACTGACCCGTGTCCCACTTTCCAGTGTAGCGATGGGATCCAGGGCAATGGCACCTGCCTCTGCTTCCCAGACTACAAGGGCATTGCCTGCCATGTGTGCTCCAACCCAAAGAAGCACGGAGACCAGTGCCAGGAAGGTGAGTGGCCCTGGCCCGAGCCACCTCCCAGACTTAGAAAGGGCCTTGGGGCACCCAAGAAGGGAGCAGAAATAGATGTTGTCTCCTTCTCCTGTACCAGAAAGACAACTGTGATTTAATGTGAAGCAAGCAGGTTTAGGTCAGACACTTTGGAGAACTTCCCAACGGGGTATTAGGAGCAGAGCAGCTAGAATAGGGGATGAAAGTGCAGAACGGCCCCTTCACGTTTTCTCTGCTTGTCCTCCAAGTCTCGTGACCTCAGATAGTAGCCCCGAAGTTAAATTTCTTCAGGCTGCCCCATTCCTGCCCTCCCATCCCCACCCTGCGAACCCAACCCTGGCTCCCAATCACACTCCCTCCTGCCTCGATTTCTCTGCTCCCGTCTCCTCCCTACAGACTGCGGCTGCATCCACGGTCTGTGTGACAACCGTCCCGGCAGTGGGGGTGTGTGTCAGCAGGGCACTTGTGTCCCAGGCTTCAGCGGCCGCTTCTGCAATGAGACTGTGAGGGACTGTGGGCCCACGGGGCCGGCTCAGCTCTGCCACCAGCACGCCCGCTGCATCAGCCAGGAGGGCGTCACCAGGTACGGACTCACGCTTCTCTGTCCACCGGTAATCGTGGGCATTGATGTGCTCAGCACCCAGCATCCCTCCTCCCCCACCCCAGGTGTGTCTGTCTTGATGGCTTCGAGGGCGACGGCTTCTCCTGCGCCCGCCGCAACCCCTGCTCCCAGCCAGACCGTGGAGGCTGCTCAGAGAATGTCAGTTCTCTCTCCCCTTCCCCGAAGTCCTGAGCCAGGGGCGGGAGCGGGCTCCCTGGACCCCAGTCCTTGGCCCTGAATCCCTGAGCCATTTATCCATGGCTGTCACAGGCTGAGTGTGTCGCTGGGGACCTGGGCACCCACCACTGCACGTGCCACAAGGGCTGGAGTGGGGATGGCCACGTCTGTGTGGCCATTGATGAATGTGGGCTGGACACTCGTGGAGGCTGCCATGCCGACGCACTCTGCAGATATGTGGGGCCAGGACAGGTGAGCAACAGTGGGGTGACGGGGCCTCTATCACGGGGCATCTCTCCTCCTTGCTGTCTGACTCCAAGAACATCCACTCCAAGCTCAAGCTCGGTCTGCAAGCCCAGACACAAATGTGGGCCGTGTACTCAGGAGCGGTTCCTCGGTTCCCATGTGTTACCGGGTACCTGGCAGTCCCTGGTCTAGACTCAGGGAATGTGATACCAAACAAAGCAGGAAGAGACCCATGCCCCCGGGACCTGGAAACCTAGCTCTGGAACTTTGCAATCTTAGATGCTATTCACAGTCTCCCGGAGCCTTCCGCCTCAAGCACTGCAGGCCTGGCGAGTGTGAATATTGACAGAGGTTTGAGGTCATCTGCTGTGCTAGTGAGAAGGGCAGGCCTGGCTGTTTCAGAGTCAGTCTCCACAGGGCTTGGGCTTGTGTGAGGACCCATAGGGCTTCCTGTCCTCCCAATTCCACAGTGGCCTCAGGGCTCCAGCCCATAGTGCCTTGGCAAGAAGAGCTTGTATGGGCACAGGGCCTAGAGCTCTGAACCTCATCAGGAGCCTTAAAGTTCATGACTAGAGTTCTGAATGAGCAGGTCAGACGTCGCTGGTTTGCAAATGAAGGCTACTGGGATTGTCACTTGAGTGTGGACAGGCCCAAGGGCACTGGCACGTAGTGGGAGAGGCCAAAGCAGCTAAACAGGGTGGTAGGGGCAGAGGTGGAACCCAAACTGCCATCGTTAGGCTGGCCTTAACAGACACCTGCCCACTTACCGCAAGCCGCTGACCCCTGTGCCCTGGCAGGGCTCCAAGTGCAGTGGGGCACCAAGGCTCCACGGATACTTCCCTGTCAATGCCACCTTTCTTCAGTGTCACCCAGGGGATATCTAGAACCAGAGCTGCAGGGCAGGCTGGAAGCAGTACCTGTGGGGAGTGCCCAGTGAGAGGCTGGGCACGGAGCAGGACAGGGCTGGGAGCTCATGGTTACGAGGACCTGTGCTCCCTGACTCCCCAGAGCCAGTGCACCTGCAAGCTGGGCTTCGCCGGGGATGGCTACGAGTGCAGCCCCATTGACCCCTGCAGGGCAGGCAACGGAGGCTGCCATGGCCTGGTGAGCGGGGCGAGGCTCGGGGCCCTGGGCAGGCTTCTGGGCTGGGGCTGGCTGCAGTGCTCTCCCTCTGGATAACTCTGTCCCTTGACAACTTGGCCAGTTTCTAAACCCCAAATCCGAATAAAAAGGAAAAAACCCCACCCGAATCCATGTCACTCCCTCATGCTGCCACAGGACGAAATCTTCATCCTTCTTATGAAGGCCACAGGTCCTGCCAGAGCCGGTCCTGGCCCGCCCTGCCCAGCCACCTTTGTCCGTTCTACCTGTCCCCATCCCTTGTTCCTCTGGGTGCTTCCAGCTCCATGCCATCCCTCACCACGCCCGAGTCCCCCTCTGGCAAGCTCCTAAGGTGCAGGGCTGCCTGGGAAACACCATCCCTGAGTACCAACCTCACTGCCTTGATGAGGTGGGGCAGTTTCCACGTCAGATGTTCAGTGAACTCGGAGAGCAAGACCCACTGAAGGCCACAGGCAGGGTGATCAGACAGATGGGCAGACGGAGACAGAGGAGGGCTGGGGGCTGGACGGGGAGAGCAGGGGTGGACGGTAAAGGGGACAGACACGATGCACAGGTGGGGTCCAGCTGCCACACAGGTGCCAAATGAGGGCCATGTCTCTCTCCCGCTCCCACCAGGCCACCTGCAAGGCGGTGGGGGGCGGTCAGCGAGTCTGTTCGTGTCCCCCTCATTTTGGGGGTGATGGCTTCAATTGCTATGGAGACATCTTCCGTGTGAGTGGTGGTAGCTTGTCCTCCCTTCCCTGGGCGTGGACGGGAGTCCTGAGCCCCTCAGGAGGGAAGGTGGTGGTGCTCAGGTCCCTGGCAGGGTGGGGCTTGGATAGGCCCTAGATAGACATTGTCAGCTCTTTCCCTCCCTGTAGGAACTGGAGGCAAATGCCCACTTCTCCACCTTCTACCAGTGGTTCAAGGTAGGACAGGGCAGGCTACTGGGGTTGGGGGTTCAAATCAAGCAGGCCCTTCTGGAAACGGGCGTGTCACCTAACATTCCAAAAGCTGGAGGCAGGGGCAGACCTGGAGGCTGCCTGCATCACCCCACCCCTTTCACGTGCACAGAGTGCCAGCATCACTCTTTCCGCTGACAACCGCGTCACAGTCCTGGTGCCCTCTGAGTCTGCCATCCGCAGGCTGAGCCCCGAGGACAAGGCCTTCTGGCTGCAGCCGAAGATGCTGCCAGTTTTGGTCAGGTGGGGCAGCTGTGAGAGGGCCAGGCCATTGGCGGGGCAGCTCTGTGGGACCCAGGCACTCCCCACAGAGGCAGAGGAGACCTGGGTCCGCTCCTGGCATGTGTCCACCTGTTGGGGGAAGTGCCCGGCCCCAGGGGCCTCTGTGTTACAGTAACCGGCTTCTTTTCCCCCAAACTGTTGTCCCTCAGGGCCCATCTTCTCCAGGGTGCCCTCTCTGAGGAGGACCTGGCCCGGCTAGGTGGACGGGAGGTGGTTACTCTGAACCCCACCACACGCTGGGAGATTCACAACATCAGTGGGGTATGGGGCGATCTCTGGGCAGAGGAGGGGGCCGGACAGGCCGTGGGAGGGAGCTCGAGTGGTTACAGATCCCCCACACCAGGGTCCCGGAGTGTGAGTTCGGGGTTCTCCCACCCTGCTCATTTGAGCTCAGGTCACAGAGCCTACATCGCCGTTGGGCCAGTGAGGGGCTGTCTGCACACATAACTGTCCTCACTGTACACCTACCTGGCAGAGCCAGAGTCTGAGTGTTCCAGGCCAGGCCCAGCCACTCTCAAAATGTCTGTGCCCCCTGCACTGAGCTCTGCCTACTGCCTTCCACCTTCCAGAGGGTCTGGGTGCAGAACGCCAGCGTGGATGTGGCTGACCTCCTTGCTACTGACGGTGTCCTGCACATCATCAGCCAGGTACAGCAGCAGGAGGGTGTGTGCCGGAAATGGCCCAGGCAGCCCAAGAGGCAATGATAGCCTCTCGTGTCCATACCAGGTCTTGCTGCCTCCGCGAGGGGTCGTGCAGGCTGGGCAGGGGGTGCTGCAGCAGCTGAAACAGGTGCCTGCCTTTCGCCTCTTCGGGGAGCTGCTGCAGGTAAAGTAGGACAGCAAGAGGGGTGCCTGCTTGGAGGCCCCTTGCCTGGTCTGGATAAGGCTGTCTGGTAGCCGGTGTCAGGACTAGGATTAATATGGCCACCCTAACCCCTGTCCCTAGCGCCACCAGTTGGTCCCTCAGATCGAGGCTGCCACTGCCTATACCATCTTTGTGCCCACAAACCAATCCTTGGAGGTCCAGGGCAACAGCAGCCTGGTGAGTCCATGTTTCCTGGGGTGATGGCTGAACATCTAGAAAGCCTCCTGCGCTGAGGCCAAAAAAAAAGGACACAGCACAGTGATGTCCAGAGTACTTGATAATCCCGGATCCCCCTGAGCTGAGTACCCCCGCCCCCAGGATGCAGACACAGTGCGACACCATGTGATCCTGGGGGAGGCACTCTCCACGGAAGCCCTACAGAGGGGGGGACACCGCAACTCCATGCTGGGCCCGGCCCACTGGCTTGTCTTCTACAACCACAGTGGCCAGGTTTGAGGGACCGGGAGTGTGGAAACCCTTCCCCGGGGACTCTGCTCTTGAAGACCCCTTTTCTTTGGAGCTTCTCTCCCTAGGAGCCTCTAACCTCTGCTCCTGGGAGACCCCCATCCTTGGAGCTGCCCTTGGCTTCACAGCCCCTTAAGTGATGGAGGTGTGGGCGCATTCAACTTCTGACCTCACTTCCCAGCCTGAGGTGAACCACACACCTCTGGAAGGTCCCTTGCTGAAGGGTCCTGGCTACTCACTGTTTGGCCTGTCTGGTGTCCTGACTGTGGGTTCAAGCCGCTGCCTGCACAGCCATGCAGAGGCCCTGCGGGTGAGAGGCCGGGGCTGGAGGAAGGCAGGGCCGTGGCTGCTGGTTGGCTTGGCTAAGGATCCCCTGACGCCCTGTTCTTCCCAGGAGAAATGTATAAACTGCACCCGGAAGTTCCGCTGCACCCAGGGCTTCCAGCTGCAGGTGAGGCTGGGTTTAGCACAGCTGTCCTTCGCCACTTCACTGCCCTTAGCTCCCAAGCAGCCCACCCACACCCTAGGCCCACTCTGCCGCCTGCATGGGGGATGGCGTTGCTGGGCAGCCAGCTCCAGGGAGAGGCCCAGAGGCCCCTGCTCTGCTCGAAGGTGCCCCGGGGCCTGCTGCCCTCCCCCAGCAGGTCTGTTCTGGCCCTGCTCCCATCTGTCTTATCAGCCTAGACTCCTGCAATCCATTTGTCGGTCTCCCCATTCACGGCCCTGTCCCTGCCCAGCCCACTGGCTGACTCTCCTGCTGTCCTGTTCCAGAACACGCCCAAGAAGAGCTGTGTGTACAGATCAGGCCTTTCCTTCTCCCGGGGCTGTTCTCACACGTGTGTCAAGAAGATCCAGGTTTGCCCTCCATGCCCTCCCACCACAAGTCTTTGGCCAGGGGAAGGCAGCGGGGACAGAGGAGGAGTCAGGCTGGATTCTAAGGGCAGAGGCAAGGATGGTCTTAAGAAGGGGAGGGAGAGACGTGCAGTCAGACGGCTAGTGTTTGTCCTTCTGTCCATCCCCTGGAGAGCAGGAATGGGGACAGAGGAAGGGACTCAGCCTAGAGTGGGCATTTCCCCTCACTGTGGGGTCTGGGCACTGCTCTTCCAGTCTTGTGCCTCAGTTTCCCCACCCTCGCCAGGGGCGGGTGGTAGAAGGCATTCAGCTGCTTTCAGCTTTTATCTGCCTGTCCCTGGGTCTATGGACCCAAGGCGCCCCTACTTTTTCCTTCCCCGTCATCCACTGTACCCTGTGCAAGACTTTGCCCTCCTCCCTTCCTGCCTTTCGCAGGTGCCTGACTGCTGCCCTGGCTACTTCGGCACATTGTGTGAGCCATGCCCTGGGGGTCTGGGAGGTGTGTGCTCAGGCCACGGGCAGTGCCAGGACAGGTTTCTGGGCAGTGGGGAGTGTCGCTGCCAGGAGGGCTTCCACGGAACGGCCTGTGAGATGTGTGAGCTGGGCCGCTATGGACCCAACTGCACTGGAGGTGAGGGCTGGCAGGGGCCGGGCGGTGGGCACCTGGGGGGCAGGACACAGGCACCGCATGATCTCTGTGCTCCTTGTGCCCCTCCCAGTGTGCGACTGTGCCCATGGACTCTGCCAGGAGGGGCTGCGAGGGGATGGAAGCTGTGTCTGTAATGTGGGCTGGCAGGGCCTCCGCTGTGACCAGAGTGAGTGGGACACAAGGGCATACGGGGGTGCATGACTACGAGGGAGACTTCGTGCGCCTGCCTGACTAGAACCTCCCTCCTGTCTCCAGAAATCTCTGGCCCACAGTGTGCAAAGTGTGACCTCAATGCCAAGTGAGTGAGACCAACCTGGGGCAGGTGGGCAAGCAGTGGAGGACGGGGACAGGGCAGGGGCCGCAGCCACAGGCTGAGCTGCTGCCATCCCTCCTAGCTGCATACAGAGCTCAGCTGGAGCCCCTGCCTGCGTCTGTGCCGCCGGATACTCGGGCAATGGGAGCTACTGTTCAGGTCCAGCCCCTGGGTGCCCCGGGTCCTTTTCTGAAATAGCGGGGGTGGCTGTCCCCCACTGCTGTCCCATCTTGGGTCCTACCCTCCCTCTGACCTTTGACTCTGCTGTCCCGCTCCTGCACCCTGCCCGCTCCTTACAACTCTGGGCAACACGCTACTCCCAGAGGTGGACCCATGTGCCCACAGCCATGGGGGCTGCTCCCCACATGCCAACTGCACCAAGGTGGCACCTGGACAGCGGACATGCACCTGCCAGGATGGCTACACCGGCGACGGGGAGCTGTGCCAGGGTGAGGTTGGGCCCCTACCCAAGGGCTGGCAGGCTAGAAGCCCGGTTTCGTCTTCAATCTGAAGCAGACTAGGAGGGGTGGAAGCCACCCAAGGTGTGGGTAGAGGCCCGGAGGGGCGGGCAAGCACCTGAAGGTACAGAAGGACGGGTGAGTGGAGGGGCCCCCAAGGGCCACCCCTTACCCCAGTCTCTTCCTCCAGAGGTTAAAAGCTGTCTTGTCCACAATGGGGGCTGCCACATTCATGCCGATTGCATCTCCACAGGCCCCCAGCAGGTCAGCATGCAGAGCGGACGCGGGCCGTCCCATTTCCTCATCCTCTTTCAGTGGCTCCTCCTTCAGACCGGACCTGAGGGGGGGGTCCTTTGATCTCGGGCACGGGCCAGCTCCTAGCTCCCGGCAGCCCCACTGACTAGGATTTGGGACAGGTGTTCTGCAACTGCCGTGAGGGTTACAGCGGAGATGGCATCCAGACCTGTGAGCTCCTGGACCCCTGCTCCAAGGTCAGGTCCCCCACACCAGCACATTCCACAGGCCTGGGTCTGTGGCAGAAAGCAGCCCTCCTTACCTCAGGAGGGTCCTGAGGGCCTGTGTAGTGGGGGCCACCTTTCCTACAGCTCCAGTCTGGTTCCTGGGATAGAAACAGAGCTGTCGGAGTTGGGCAGGAACTTCATGGCCACAGGCTGGGTGGGACATAAGAGTCTGGGAAGCCACTGATGCCTCCTTTTCTGTCCCTGCCTCAGAATAATGGAGGCTGCAGCCCTTACGCTGTGTGCAAAAGCACAGGGGATGGCCAGAGAACATGCACTTGCGACACAGCCCGTACTGTGGGAGATGGTTTCACCTGCCGCGCGCGAGTTGGCCTGGTAATGGTGCCCGTCTGTCCCGACTTGATCTTGGCCATGTTCCAGGCGCCTGAACTAGGATTTGAGCCTTGACTCTTCCTGGGCCTGACCCAGCTATGATGCACGACAGTAATCCTGGCCTTAGCTCAGACTCCCCTGGCTGCCCTTTCTTCATCTCTGCCTGGGCCAGACCTTGGGGTGCAGATGCGGGGGCAGGAACCAGGCCTGACTGGAGGCCACCCCAAATCTGAGCTGATCCTCACTCCTCCAGGAACTCCTTCGGGACAAGCAGGCCTCATTCTTTAGTCTCCACCTGTTCGTGAGTAACCCACCTGGGCCCACCTGCCTCTCTCCATGCTCCCATGGGGGCGTGGAGGGCCTTGCTCAGAGTTCAGACCTTTTGAGGATTGTCTCTGGAACCCTGCATCATTCCCAACTTCCCCAGGAATACAAGGAGCTCAAGGGCGAAGGGCCATTCACAGTCTTCGTACCACAGGCAGATCTGATGACCAACCTGTCACAAGTATGCAGCTTCCGGGGCAAGGCTGGGGAGGAGGAACCCTGGGAGTGGGCATTGCGCGGGAGAGGTGGCAATCAGAGGCTCCACTACCCTCACGATGCCCCTTTAGGATGAGCTGGCTCGGATTGGGGCACATCGCCAGCTGGTGTTTCGCTACCACGTGGTGGGCTGCCGGCAGCTGTGGAGTCCGGAGCTGCTGGAGCAGGGATACGCCACAGCGCTCTCTGGACACTCGCTGCGCTTCAGCGAGAGGGAGGTGAGCCGGCCCGTGCACCTGCCCTGGTTAGACCCCTACTCGCCCCATCCTGGCCCAGCATCCTCAGATCCAGGACTGAGCCAAGGGGACCCCAGCTCGCGGCACACCTTTGAGAGCCCGGTCCTGTCTTGACGCCCCGCCCCAGGCCCACCCTCGTCCCTCCCTCCCTCTGTCCCTGTCCCCGACACACCCACGCCCAGCTCCCCCCATCAGCCGGATTCAGCCCCTCGCCCCCCCCCCCCGCCGGAGCATCTACC